ATATTTTTATTTCTTTTCTCATGTGAAACACTCCCATTAGGAATTTTAAAAAATCCTTCCTAATACTACTAAACTGAAAATGAGGAAAATTTAACCTCATATTGTTCAAGTACAGAATTTGTTGATTGTATTAAAACTATAGCTTTGCATGAGATTTGACAGCCATCTATCAATAAGAATGCTAATTATGATACCTAGAATTTATTACACCCTAAATACATGCTAAACAGTGTTCTAACTTACTTACAAAAGTATGCTCAGTGGTGTCTGACTCTTTGTGACCGCATACTTAGTTCTTTAAAATGTATCCACATGAAACTCTATTTCCATTAAGTTTTCCTTTTTGCATGTAAACAACTATGTTCTCTCAGTTCTTTTAGAACCACTTCTGTTTTTCATTCCCCCTTTGCCATTATTAGTTTGATCATTGTTCTTATAACGGAAATCTTTTCCATATTACCATCTATTCTCTTTTTTTCTTATAGACAATTTTGGGTCCTAATTAAGCCTTCTTTAGCATTCGCTTATCTGCCCCGCCCCCAAATTAATATCCTATTAATCTCTTTCCTTTCAGTACCAATTTTTTCTCTAAAAACAATTACTGTATAGTCTCTCCTTCAATTTCTGAGTCAACTGTTTTCTCTTCCACTATTTGCCATCTTCCTATCATTTCCTGATGACCTAATTGTTAAATCCAGTGACCTTTTGTTGTTTCTCATTGCCTTTGACCGTTGTGTAATTTTGATGTTTTTCGTTACTTTCTTCATCTTTAAATTATTGTCTTCCTTAATTTTGTATCACAGTACACTTCTAGCTCTCTTGTCCTCTCTAGCCTTTTAAAATGTTTTCTCATCTTCATCTTCATAAACAAAAATCATCTGAGATTCTTTCCTTGTCTTCATCAAAACACAAGCATCCAATTCCTCCTTCCAAAGTTTCTGCTTCTGTGTTTAATGAGACCATCCTTTCCCAAGTGACCGCTGGCTGGAAGCTTCAGTCTGATACTTAACATTGCCATCTCCTTCCTGTTGAGTCCCTCTAGTTTCCATTCTTTCATCCTTTCTATTCTCACAACCATTACTCTAATTCAGACTCATAGCACTTCATGCCTGAATTATTGCACCTGCCTCCTAGGTGGTCTTCCTACCTCTAGTCATTCTCTCCTCTTCAGTTCACCCACTGTATCACTGCTAAGACCACTTGTCAGAAATCACTGCTTTGAATATTTTCGCCCCTACCCCAACTTAAGATCTCCACAGTCCTCCATTGCCTGCTAGCTAAAATCCAAACTCCTTAGACCTTTTCGGAGAGCTCCCAGTTTATCTCTGTCCATATCTTATATTCCTCTACATACTGCTATTCATTTTTAAGCAATTTTTTTTTAAACTCTGGGGCTCTCTGTCCATGCCTTGTGAAATGCCAATCTCCTGCTGCCTTACTCTATTGAATAGTCAAGGCAGACTCAGTATCTGCATTAATTAGAAGGGTTTCCCTCTCATTATCCTTATTATTAAAAGTCCTCTTTCTGTTTTGATCTCTTTGCGTCACTCTTGTGGCTTTTATCATGTGTTAATTTCTCTGATTATTTAAGTTCATGTTTTATCTCATACTATTTTGCCAACTAGACGGTAAATCACCTTCCTTCTGTATAAAACTCTCCAGTGCCTCCTCATAGCTTTCTGGATAAAGTTTAAACTCTTTACCTGGGTGTATGATTCTCGCAATGATCTGTCCCCTACCTGCTTCTCTTCTTACAGCTCCCATATTCATCTGTATACCCCAAAGGCCCAGCCATTCCAGGCCTACTGTTTTTTTTGTTTTTTTTTTTTTTTTTTTTTTTNGGGGGGGGGCTGCAGCATGGTTTTTTTTTTTTTTTGCAGCATGTTACTCTTCGTTCTGCAATCAGGAATCGAAACCACATCCCTTGCACTGACAGTATGGAGTCTTAACCACTGAACCTCTAGGGAAGCCCCAAAGCCCAGCCATCTCAATCCATGTGTCATTCCGCAAACACTCCAGATACTTTCATGCCTGTTTGCCTTTGCTCATCCCATTTTATCTGCCTGGTATGTCTTCACTCATCTTATTGGCCAAGGATGCCCCTCTTTCAGTAGTCAGCCCAGGTGCCACCTTCTTTAGGATGCCATCCCTGACGCCCCAGCCCATGAGATGCATGTCTATCCTGCTTCCTTGGTACCCATGCAGTGCCTCTGTTCATATGCTGACCTGTGTTTCCTAGAGGACCATGAGTTTCCTGGGGGTTGCAACACTTTCATCTTCTCACCTGTATTTTCAGTACCTAGCCCAGGGGCTCTTGATGAAGTGAAATGAGGCAGGCTTGACATGGGGAAAGCCAGCTGGTTATGTAGGTAAGTCTCCACCAGGTGGCATTTACTTAGGTGAATTCACGGTGACTCAGGGCCTGGCTCTCAGCCTGAAGGCCTGGGAACTTGGCTTAACAAATCGTGAATAGATCCATCTCATAAAGGTAGGAACTTATTATCCACACTCACAGAGGCTGCTCTGTGAAACCAGCACGCCTAAGCACTAGTTATGGAGTGAGTGGACTGGACTTTTGCTGGCATTGACCCTGACCTGGGGACTCTGCCTTTGTTTGCATGTCACACAGGAAGCCAGTTCTCATGTGTTGGCGGCCAATCTATTTTACTTCACAATGGCTAATCACGTGAGTTGTGTGTGGATTGTGCTAGCTCGCCTCCTAAAGAACAAACAACCTCACTTCTCAATTATTGGGGAGAAGTGGGCGCACTTTCCTGTAGCTTCTGTGAGTTGATTAACCCACACGTAAAAAGTCTTTAGTAAACACCGGTGTCATATGATCAGGCAGTTGCTGATTAGATAAATAAATGCCACTAGATAGAAGATTATTTGAAAGTCTAACCGTGGCAAAGTAGCATAAGACATACTGCACATGATGGCATCGTTGCAAAACCGTATTTCTCTTAAAAGTTTCCTTTACCTCTTTTACATGTTTCTAACTATTTTCTTCACATGCTTCTTGCCATCAGCACTGCCAGGCACTGGGACCTAACCAAGCACTTTGCAGACTGAGCTTTCTCTCTGTCTTCTCTGCCTTGCTTGTCTCTTCTGCTGTTCTGACTGCTGTCACCACAAGCTTCCCCTCCTCCCCATCTATTCTGTCTCCAAAAGCAGTTTCATTTCTTCTACTTTCTAAGTCAGAATATGCCTTGATGCTCACCTCTGAGGTGCCTGGGCTCTGCCAGTATCTTCGATGCCGCATTTAGTGCTTGCCCATCTCTGACTTCCGCCCTTCTCTCAAGGTATATGTTCTGCTTTTTTTATTTTTATTTTTTTATTTTTTATTTTTGCTGTTCAAAGCAAATTTATTTATTGTTCCTAATCAACACTATTAATAAATCCAGGATTCTGTGTTTTATGGATTTTTCTTAACCACTAGATAGGTCAGAATTAGAATAAACGGTGAGCATTGGGGTATGAAAACATTTGATTTTCAAGGGAGTCATATTTTTCCATCAATTACACTTCAGAATATTTTACTATGTATTTTTCCCCTAGTCTTTCTGATTTTGAATTTCACTGTTCTGTAACTGGTTAAAAACAAACAAACAAACTGGTATTCCACTATGGAGAACAGTATGGAGGTTCCTTGAAAAACTAGGAATAAAATTATCATATGACCCAGCAATCCTGCTATCGGGCATATACCCTGAGGTGTATGTTTTAGAAAGAACTCTGAGTAAAGGGAAAATACCAGATACCCCATCCATGTGATGTTAAAGTCAGCTTACAAGAAGAAAACAAGCCTTTTCATAACAAAGTACCAGACAAAACTATTTATAATGGATCATGTACACAAAATTAGAAGGATTCTTTTCCCTTTGGTAGTGGTGATTTTTACACTCACACCATGTCATGCAGACTGGCTACATAATTCCAAAATTCAGCACCACTATGGTTCTTTAATCTAACAAGAAAAATACATTCCTTCTCAATTTAGGATATCTTGATTCTAATATCTGACTTGGTGTGAACTTTTTATTATTTTAAGTGACTGAGAGATTACTACCAATTTTGGTAATTTTATCTTTAAAAAAAAAAAAAACAAAAAATTTTCCGGCAAAAAAGAAATTTTTTCCTCTATTTGTCCCTACATATTTTCACATGGACTTGGCAACCCACTCCCATATTCATATCTGAAGAATCTCATGGACAGAGGATCCTGGCGGGCTATGGTCTCCATAGAGTCACAAAGAGTCAGACATGTCTGAAGTGACTTAGCATGCACATGTTCACATAAACACATTCACATAAAATAAATTATTCACATTAAACAAATTGTTCACATAAATGCATTGTAGCACTGTGCTCGTCATTCAGAAAGTGTAGTCACTTACCAAAGAAGTGAAATAATATCTGTCGTCAACTTGTAAGCACTTACTATGGGTATGCCAATCTCTGTGCAAAGTCTTTTACATACTTTAAATAAAATCCTTAAACAACCCTCCAAAGGGTTTAATCCTTAAACAGCTTTCCCCATTTTACAGATGAGTACATTGAGTTTAATAACTTACCCAAGTCCCAGTTCTGGAACAGAGTAGAATTTGAAGCTGGGCTCACCTAGCTTCCTCGTACACATTCTTTCCTCTGTAGTGCTTTTCCTTCCTGGGTGAGTTGATTGTGTTTTCAGAAGGTTTTATGGAACTCCCCCCACACCACGACAATGCACAATGAATAGTAACTTTCTTATATTCATCCTTTTCACTCTGTCATTTTCTCCTGATGGAAGAAAAAGTGACTTGGGGATATTATACACGTGGCTTTATCAGTCTATGTCAGTCTTGGGATGCCACATAGAAAATGTGCTATTAATATATGACTTCAAAAAAGTGTGTCCTGGCACAGTTATGAAGAAATAACAGTTATGAAGAAATAAGATGTCGAAAAGAGTGTTTGAAAACAGTGAGTTTGCTGTACAGTTGGACTTTGTGTTTTTACAGCTGATGAGGAATATGAAGATGGGATTGAAAGGACGTGTGACACTCTTCTCATGTGCATTGTGACTGTCCTGAACCAGGGCCTCAGGAATGGCGGAGGCGTGGGTGACGTGCTCAGGAGACCATCAAAAGATGTAAGCTGGAGAAAAATAGTTTTTCACGGAACACACGATCGTTTTTTTTAACCTTTCTTAACAGCATTTACAACCCAGTTTTTGTTTATAGGGTACTCCATTTTATGTTGTTTGCTATAAAAATATAATGGTAGCTATTGAAAGCAACCCACTGTATAATAGAATTCCATAGAAATAGCAAATGTCCTAAAAATCTACACATGTTAGTAGGTCATGACATCTTACCAACTTTGAACTGTATATTGTATGACAGCAACAAAATCATGACTTCTGACTTTATGGAGGAGTTTGATTGTTACATAAATAACAGAAACCAGCCTGTCTCTTGTCTCTCAGTTTTCATAGGCATGGAGATTTACTCTTTGCCTCCAAATAGGGACAACCTCCATTATTTGTCCACAAAGGAATATCCGATCTGAACGGATTCTAACAGGATTTCATATATTAAAATGGCAAGGCTGAAAAACTTCTCGTTGGTGGCAGCATCTCAAGTCCCCCCACTGGGAGCTTGAACAAGTTCAATCCTGAACTGGCCAGCCATCTCACCTTGTCCAGCCATCTCATGTTTCTTCATCTATGAAACACCTAAACTATCTGATCTCTAATGTGCATTTTAATAACATTTATCAAGTAGAAATAGGCTTGAATTGAATGTACTTGACCCTATAAGGCCTAGAGCAAAATCTCCTTCAGAAATGGACAGACCGTTAGATGATACTCAAATCTCCAGTCTCTCTGACCTTTAGAAATGGCATTTGTTTACCTTCTGGGTAGCTCCTGGGATAGGAGCACACTGCACCAAAATACATTTAGCATAACTACATGTAAAGTGATTTTTAATACATGATAAATCCCTCCTTTGGAGAAGAAAAGTACGAGTGCATGAAAGGAGTCTGGGGACAGACTGAAAAGTTTTCCTCACAACGCTTATAAAGTAAACGAAGATAGAAAGTGGGTCTTATTTTTTCCAACTTGGAATACTATTTATAGTCATTGAGCAAACAATTATTGAATATATACTTTCTGCTAGACAATATGCTAAATCAACATGCCTTGAAAATATGAGTTTGTATACATATACACGATAGAGGGTTTTTTTTTTAATGTTTTTAAAATATTTTATTTTAGGAGCCCTTATTTGCTGCCCGTGTGGTATATGACCTTCTTTTTTATTTCATTGTCATCATTATCGTTCTGAACTTGATTTTTGGGGTTATCATCGATACTTTTGCTGATCTCAGAAGTGAAAAACAGAAAAAAGAAGAAATCCTAAAGACCACCTGCTTCATCTGTGGTAAGTGTTCTCAAGATACTAAAATAAGAGAGAAAGAAACTGCCCAGTAGAAAGGAGGGGATGGAAGGATTTTTTGTTTGTCATGCCTTGGGAAAAATTATTTCAAAATGAAAGCTGGACAAAATTCAGATTATGTAACTGAGCATTGGACCGGGATACTCTGCTTCCAGAAATAGAAGAATTACATCCCAAAGCTCTCTTGTCATTATTTCTGCCATTTGTATGATTCTCTAACTATAGCATGTGTTGCAAAATGCCAGAAGGTTCCACCAACTGGCAAACAGATTTTTCATCACAATAACATATTGATTAAACAATAGAATGATTTTTATTTTATTTTGGTAGATTATGAATCCACAGATGAGTTTTCCAGCAGCTTGAACTTCTAACTCACTGGCAGCACTTTGTCTTCGATTCTGAGTTGTGCTTTCTCCCAGTTTCTGTCTGTCTCTCCCCATCTCTCACACCCTGTCCTTTTCTTCTTCCTCTCTCAGACCCACCCAGCCTTCCTTTTGTCCTCATTATTTCCTTTGGCTCCACCCTCTGCTTCATAGACCTCAGCCCTTTCTGGTTTTAGTTGTCCCTGTAGCTGGCTTAGTCACCCGAGGATCCTTTCCCCTCCTTTGCTTTTATAGAAGCTATAACATGGATGGAGTTTTGCTTTCTTTCTTTTTTTTTTTTTTTTGCCTGCTGCACCATGTGACATGTGGAATATTATTCCCCAACCAAGGATTGAATCCATGCCCCCTGCAGTGGAAACACAGTCTTAACCACTGGACTGCCAGAGAAGTCCCCCTTTTCCCTCCTTGAATAATCACCAACTCCTGGTGATACTCAACATCTCTTTTTCCATATTGAGCTGAAGTCACAAAATAAGCATAAGGGCTTCAACGTTTATTAAATAGTATATAACATTTATTCGGTATAACTTAAACTGCACCCTCAATAATCCCCTTCCTCCCTCAGTTCACCTTTTCTCACCTCTTTTCCCTGAATAGCTCTTCCAAGCCTTTCCAACGTCACTCCAACAGGTGGAAGTGTGCCGGATGTTAACCTGTAATAATGAGCTGTCTTCCAAGGAAACAAACACAAATTCAACATGCCCTTCTCCAGGGTGTCCTCAATCTATTGTGAAATATCGGAAAAAAAATAAATACCATTGCTGTCTAATGCATTAAGGGAAATGATAGAGAAGTTTAAAGGTTGTTAACATTTCACTGGGCTGTAGTAGAGGGCAGATGAGAAAGTCAGGAAAGGTTTCCTGGAAGAGATAGTGATGGAGCTAATGGTAAAAGATGGAAGGGAGAGAGCCATATAAAAGTGGGCAGAAGCAGAGTGGCTAGCAGAAGGAAAAGCATGGAGAGGAGAACAGACGAAAAGAATCTTCCTTTCCTATAAACAGTTTGATGTTGCTAAAGTGAAAGTTTCAAAGCAGGGTATGCCAGCAAAAGAGACCGGCCAGGCCATGTGTGACCTCTTATATTAAAAAGTTTGGACTTTATCCTTATGGTTTTATGGAAGATGGTGAATCATTACAGAATTTTAAGTAGAAGATACAGAGTGTAATTATTATTTTCAAACACTGAGGCAGCTATGGGAAGTTGTTCATCGGGGAACAATATTGGAAGCAGAGGAACCAGGTAGAAGTTTATTGCCATTGTCCATAAGAGGTAAAGAAACCTTGATCCAGGACAGGTAGTGATGGCACTATTCAGGGTAATGGACAGAGTTAAATATTGGAGAGGTAGAATCTGCCTGCCAATGCAGGAGATGCAAGAGACGCAAGTTCAGTCCTTGGGTCGGGAAGATGTCCTGGAGTAGGAAATGGCAACCCACTCCAGTATTCTTGCCTGGAAAATCCCATGGACAGAGGAGCCTGGTGGGCTACAGTCCATGGGGTTGAAAGAGTAGAACATGATTGAGCATGCATAAGCACACACAGAATCCTTAAATCTCAGTGGTTTGTAATGGACATGAAAGAATGTGAGTGCCTGGGTGGATGGTAGTACCTAAAAGTGAGTTTGAGAATGGAAGAAGAAAAACAATTTTAGGTAGGCTTAGGCTGAATTTGGCTTTGAAAGTACTGAAAATGAGGTGTGTTCTTAGTTGGACCATAAAGAAGGCTAAACGCTGAAGAATTGATTCTTTTGAACTGTGATGTTGGAGAGGACTCTTGAGAGTCCCTTGGACTGCAAGGAGATTAAACCAGTCAATCCTAAAGGAAATCAACCCTAAATATCCACTGGAAGGACTGATGCTGCAGCTCCAATACTTTGGCCACCTGATGGGAAGAGCCGACTCATTAGAAAAGACCTTAATGCTGGGAAAGATTGAAGGCAGGAGAAGAAGGGAGAAGCGGACGACAGAGGATGAGATGCTTGGATGATGTCACCAACTCCAGGGACAAGAGTTTGAGCAAGCCCCGGGAGATAGGGAAGGACAAGGAAGCCTGGCATGCTGCAGTCCATGGGGTCGCAAAAAGTTGGACATGACTGAGCAACTGAACAACAACTGAACACCCCAGTGGGATACACCCAGCACAGAGGTGAACATATATGTCTGAGCCTCAGAGAAGGAGACAGTATTGGGGAGTCCTCAGCCTGAATGGGATAGAAAAAGCTGGAGTGTGGAGGAAGGCTTCCAAGTAAGAGGAGAAGACAGTGGGGTTCAAGTGGAAAATAGCGGCATTGAAAAGCTGAAAGAGAAAGGGGATCACATACACACAAGAACTATCCAGGATGAATGGTGTGAGGACAGCCAGGCACAGAGGGCATGTGATAGTGAAAGGAGAAAGTAGCCTTGGGGAGAATATAGCCTTGGGAAGAATATAATAGATTGTCAACTCTGCCCAAGCAGAGAAGGCCAGTAACATGAATTGAAACACAGCCTTTGAATTTCTTGTTTAGGAGGTTTTGGAGTCTTAGGAGTTTCCATGTGGATAAGGACAGGGACCAGATTGCACAGTGCTGGGGAGGGACTTGCTAGAAGGAAATGACACAAAAAAGAAGAATCTTCTGTTTATATGTCTAGATTAGATGGAGGAATGCAAGATTGACATGGCATTGGGAAGAAGTCGGACAATAATTGGGGGATTTGAGAAGAGAGTTGTTATATGTTAACAGAAGGGTGAGCCTCACAGAGGAAGAAAGATAACTGCCTTTGAAGAGTTTCCTGTGTCTCGTGGTCTTGCCTTTATCCTGCTTCCTCAAAGCCTTTTTCTTCACAATTAAGATGACTGTTGTGTCAGAACCCTGCTTCCAAAACATGGGCTCTTTGGAAAAATCTGTCAGTAGAACGTGAACCTCATCCTAAGGCATGATCCTGTCTCCCCTATTCTAACAACAAAAAGGCATGAACAGCAAAATAAGTGCATCACTTCACCCCCATTCCTGCTCCTCTGAGCTTTCCCTTCAATATCAAAATTCTCTCTGGCTTTTCAAAGTTATGAAAAAGCTTGTAACCTATAAATTCCTTAAAATATCACATTAAGCTTCTGCCCCAAATTGAAATGTTTGTCTCAAACCTCATCATGAATTTCCTGCTGACCTCTTCTTCTAGTTCAGGTTGCACATTCCCTGGGTCCTTCACAAGGTCTCAGACTTTCTCCCAGCCCATGATTTTATCATTGACTCTTTGTGTCTTCCCTCTGCTGTCCTCTTTAACACTGCTCTATGCAGTTTATTGCCAAATATGTAGCCAAGACTCCGGCCTCTCTCCAAGCTTTCATCCTTTGTTTTCCACGGTTGATTGACATTTTAAAAGGTATGACTTCCTGGCAGCCAGTTTCACCGTGTCTGCGAACCAGCACATCATGCCTCTCCATCTTCTTCCTCTCACCCAGCAGCTTATCCTGACTTCCATACTGAAATTAATGACAGCCTACTGGGCTGGCAGCTTCTCCATCATTCTAAGCATCTCCTTTTTCCTCTTCCAGATGTGCTACTTACCATGTGCTAATGAATCTGTTTTCACAATCTCACTCACTTCCTTCCACATATTCCCACAGCCACACCTTGGTTTTTCAGGCTTACCCTGGCTCAAACCCCCAAATGACCTATTCAGTGCTGCCAGACAAAATTTTCCACTTTGAGCTCATCATTTCCGTATTCAAAAGGCCATCAATAGCACTGTACAGACTATAACTCAAAAACTCTGATTTTCCTGGCATGTAGGATGCCCCACAATTGGGCCTCTTCTTTTTTTGCCTGTCTTTCCTTCCACTGTTCTCCCATTTATAGCTCAAAGTCTGGTTCGAGTGTGTTACGCATCTTTAACTCTGTCTTTCCACATGTTCTCAGTTATGGTGTTTCTGTTTAGAATGCCCAAACTCCTAGGCTGTTGTACGACCACCCTCTCTCTGAGACCCAGATCTAAAATCGTTATTTCATGGGTTCAGCTTTCTCTGGTCTTGCTAATCAGAAGCAAACATATTTGCTCCTAAAGTTTTCAATCACAATTAGCTCTAGGATACTATACACATTTTCCATTGTCTTATCTCCTCTGTTGGATACTATGCATTGCCATATTATAGAAAGTAAATGAACTTTACAGTCAAACAGATGTGGGTCTACATTGGTTCCCCATCCTGGCTTTGTGATCTTAGCCAAGTCTTCTTTCATCTTGAAAGTGAAGAGTATGCTGCCATGTTTTGGCATTGTGGTGGCTATAAATGAAATCTTGTATATTAAAATCCCTAGCTCAGTGCTCAGCTGAAAGTAAGCTCTCAATACATGATAACTTCTCTCCTTTAGGAGATCAGCATCTACATCTTATCCATTTTTATGCTTCCAGTTATTGGGTTGGCTAAAAAGTTCATTTGAGTTTTTCTGTAAGATGGAATGAAAAAACTCGAACGAACTTTTTGGCCAACTCAGTATGTATTGGGGATTATTCATAAATATTTGCTTAATGAATGACTATCCAATTAGTCACCTCCAAATTAACATTGTCACTATACTTATGTGGCTTATTGCTTATAAAGGAAAATAAAGCAAGTAAGT